GAGCCAGCCGCGAGCATGGTCGCGCGCCGTGCTTGTCGCCGCGTTTTGATTACGTCATCACAACAACACGTTAGCTTACCAACGTAACCCTGTTCTCTGACATTCGGTGATATTTTTTCGGTGCTAGAACCCTTTCGGCCGAAAGCCGAAAGAGCCTTTTTAACCATTTTCGGCCGATAATTTTCGGCGGCCGAATATTCGGTGCATCCCTAACTAAAAGCTTTAGGAATCCAAACATCACAACATATAATAAGTACCTTGTATCAAGATTGATGCAAAACAAGTGAAATGTGACCTTTTTAGAGAAATTTAGCAAAAAACAACAACTTCTGGGGTCATTTGGGTGGATTTTCCATATCTCTGACCCCCCTTGGTCGATTTTGATGATTGACATCTCTTTCTAACCGTCAGAGCCAATGGAATCGAGGGGAACTCCCACATACACACACACATTACCAAATAAGGAGTGAGAGTGACGCATAGTCAAAACCGGAATCTGCGATAACTCTGGTGGCTACCATTAGCAGCTAACTTTTACTCTCCGATTTTTACATAAAAATGGAATTATGGATTACAAATATTTTTTTCAAAGTGACAGACACATTCAATTAACCTATGGATTAACCCTCAGCTACGTTTTTTCTCGCTTTAATGCCATTGAACATGACTTTTGATCAGAATAACAGCTAAGGTGAGACGATGTCCCGTTTTTCCTCCGTAATGCTACGTGTTGTGATGTCTGTGTTTGTTTCCCCTGTTGCGAGTTCTGATCGCTCAGTGATCATACTATACCTATATAATCTGTGGAGTCTCAGCTTTAATCGGATATCTTGTATGTGCAGTTACGATAAGTAATAAGGGTATCTTTATCTTGAGTTCTGTGGCAAACTGCGTTTTTGCTCAGGGGTCATTTAGATGCTTCTTATGAGACTTGTGTTTTGTTTTGGTAAAAATGGTTTGTATCGTCAGTTAGCTGAGATTATTCCCGTTAATCTGGTATAACACATTAATAGGTTTTTAAATATTAAGATGCCCTGAGACACAGTGTCGTGAAAAAAAAAAAAGACCCGCCGAAGGGGTCTTTGGGGCTTAACAGGTGCTCTATTTATTTTTGCTGTTTCTTTGTTTACATGTACGTTTCAGCTTCACCTGCTTTTAGTGTTGTTACTGAATCTCCTACATGTGTTTACCTTTACAGGAATGGGAGTCAAAGAAAGCAACCTAAGAGCAGCATTATGGAGAGGACTGGAAAAGAGAGATCATGGACGTCAGGATGTTGTTACTGTGAAATTCAATCTCTCTTAAGGATATCCTTCCATCTCCAGCCCAAATCAAATACTTTTCAGAGGAATACAACTGTAATGACAGAAATTGCCAGCAGGTGGAGGTACATCTCTCTGAATATTTACTCTTCTGTCTCCCTTAAAGATATTTTCTAAATTTGAGAATCCAAGGACACTTGCAAGTCTTCGTCCAAGTGATTTCATTGTATTTTGTGAAAATGTGGCAAACAGGAATGAGGGTTTATGGCAGAAAGACTCAAGAGAAGCGAATTGTGTTGTAAAGAAGGGTTAACACAGGATTATGTTCTAATCTTGGTGTTAAATGTGGTGAAAATTGTGAAGTTGGTTTGAGAAATGACGAGGGAGGCGATTAAAGCCGCAATATGTCTTCTTAAATAATCTACTTTTTTTATTTGCCTGTACAGAGTGAGACATGACTATTGTTTTGTATTTTGTTTTACTTTTTTTAAACATTGTTCAAGGATTCATTTCTCATTGTCATTATCATCATAACTACCTTTAAGAGGTATTCAGCAAATAATGTGTGAATTATATATTTTATACACTTATTAGCTTCTTCTCCTGAATTGAAGCTGTGCCAAACATCAAACCATCTGTTGAACAATGCAACATATTCCTTTTCTTGGCAGATAAATACACCATCATTTAGTGACTAACAAATTGTTGCTATTGTTGATCAAATAAATCCTTTGCAGAGTGGTAAAATCCCCACTTTTATGTAATTTAACAACTTTTCTGTTGAACCTGTGGTTGACTTTTGCACTTTACTGTTCTCCTACCAGGATAAGGGAATAATAAATGTACGCATTCTCAGTCTCACTTTTATTATATTAATTAACATGGTATGAAGTAATTGTACACTTTACGGTCTCAAACAATGTATGAAAGTCAAAATAAAGACACTAATGCATCATCAGTCACTTAATAAAGGCAATTCAATGCAACACAGTATAGTGTCATGCAGCTCAGGCAGCCTACCGTTTATAACTAGTTTTACTAGTTTTTTTTTGACAAGACTTGTCAGGAAATAGACAAAGACAGGCTTTATTTGTATGTTAAGATGTTAGTAGCCATCCATTTAATAATGATTAATAAAGCTTTCAAAACGGTAAAATGCAAAGAAGAATTTCCAATGCCGAATGATTAATAGGAGTTTCTAATTCATCATTGTCTAGCCCTGTTTGAGGGACAAAAAGGTAATAAATTATGCGATACAAAAAAGCATGTATGATCAGTTTAGATCCAGTGGCAAATGGTATTGGGTCTCAAATGAGGAGATGGAGCAGCATCAAGGATGGTGAAATGAACAATGCAGCAGCTCAGAGGAACAGATAGTAAAGCCAGTAGAGGATATTGACACAGAGGAACGCCATGGGGAAAGCGGTGCGAGAGTGGCGATCGATGTTGTGTGGATTTTCCACCGTGAAGGCGGCCGCGGCTCTGCGTGAAGCGCTCCTCACTGAGAACAGACCGCAGCCCTGATCCGACAACTTCGCTGTCGCAGTCCGCTGCCTGCTCCAGGGGCTCCTCTGCAGTGGAGCTCATCTGCAGTGTGTTTCGGCTGGGTGGAGCGGAAGATGGGGATGGAGCCGTTTCCGTTGGATTCATTGAAATCCCTCAGAAGCTCCTGATAGAGACAATAACAGTGTTGTTGTTATCCAACATCCTTTAAGGGTGGGTGAGTAAAGTTAATTTGAACACATAGAAATCACTTTGAAGCTTACCATGTTGATGACTTCAAATAAGACAATTATTTTTCGTAAACAAGTTTTCTGAAATGTAATGTTAAAGGTCCCATGTCATGGCCATTTCTACTGATCATAATTCCATTGTTGAGGTATACAAAAATAGATTAATACTGTGCAATTTTCCAAACTCACATTGGTTTCTCAGTATGTGTATTCACCGGTATTCACTCTCTGTCCTAAACGGCTTGTTGGAGCTCCTTTTTCTTTCCAATCTAGGATACCTAACCGCCGATGAACACAAATCTGTCAGCATTGTGCACATTTACTTTTCTGCTTTTATATTTTAAATAGCACCACTATAACATTTGACTATATTGTGTTATAATATTTTTTCTCTGCTTTGGTCATATCTGTCTGACCATATATAAAGTCTATAAAAGTGATTCAATATATGAAGAATTGATGCACTTAGGCTCTTAACTCCATGATACTTTGACCTTTAGATAAACCCAGTTAGATATCCAGTACTGACCGATGTATGTCCTGGCTGGGACAGAGGACTGGCTGATCCAGAATGAGACCCAGGAGAGGACCACCAGCAGGATGGAGGGGACGTACGTCTCCAGGATAAAGAAGAACACGTTTCTACCCAGTGCGCAATGCAACACCAGCTTAGGGTATTGTCCTGTAAAAAAGACAAGGTACATATTGTAATGATGTATCATTTGTGCTCTCATATATAGGCCACCCATTTGTTAGAAGGGGCTTCTGGGAGTTGAAGTATCCTACCTGTTTCATACACAGACAAGAGCCAAAAAACAAATAGTTAACTAAGGTGGTGGCTAATGGATAAGTTAGCTCAAGGTTTAGCTATGGCAATTTATCATAGGCGTAGGCTAATGTTTTCCTACAGGGACGACTAAAACAACTAATTGCTTTTGATAATTAAACCAAAAACATGGCTGTGAAATATTTTTCGAATCAAATTAATTTCCTGTATTTCCACATAGCAGGTTGAAGAAATATTCAGATCTTAAATCTGAAAAAGGTAGCACACTACATGCAAAATAATTACCTTTTAAGGAAAAAGTNTTTCAATTTTTTATGACTATCAAAACCAAAGTTCTCCGAGCCTGTTTTTCGGAAGATATGGTCATTTGTTCTGGGAATGTCATTTTCAAGCCTGAGACCTGAAAAACAGGCTCGGAGAACTTTGGTTTTGATAGTCATAAAAAATTGAAAATGCCAACAAAAAAAGGTCATACACAACAAATAGTTGAAGTAAACAATATTGTTAAAACAAATTATCTTTAAAAGTGTTAGCCTTTAAGAAATGGCTTCACAATTATGTATAGAATCATTTTTATGGATAACCCCTTAAAGTACAATTCCGGCACTTAATCGTGAATATCCAAAGTGGCTTTCTATCTGAACCGTGAAAACCCATTAGACGATGACACACGCTGTTGTGACCCTAGAATCCTGAGAGAAACCTGCCCTTAATGACAGGCTTGGGTATTGTTCACGAGAGTCACAGTGAGAGTTACTGAGCAGCTACCTTTGCTTTCTGCATGACAGTTCCAGAAGAAGCGTAAACAGATGGAGGTCTCCGACGCATCTCTGAGGCACAGTTTACTGGTAAAGCATCACTGTAGATATTCTGTTTCTTTTTGCTGGAGGCCTTGACAGAAAGTAAAAGGAAAATAATTAAATATACCACGTTTAACATGTGTTTGTGCATCCTTACACATGAAGCAAGATATATACCTTAAGTGGGGGTTTAGCCTCAACAGGCGCACCCAGAGCTCCCCCAGCAATGCTCTTCTTCAGGTTCTCTGTGACCTGAGTCAGCCGCAGCTCCAGGTCCACCCTCTCCGCCTCTTTGGTTCGACAGGTGTCCTCCAGCTGGGACACACGCTTGTTCAGGGAGGACATCCTCCTCTCTGCAACATATCAACACAGCAACACGATGAGACAAACAATGATCAGAAAAGCAATTATCGTCAACCAAACAAAGTGGTTGTAAATACAGGTTTGGGTATTTTTACTCTAATTGAGTGATTCCATGTTATGCTGCTTAATACCTGTGCTTCGCGACATTGCAAACTGAAAATATTGTACTTCTATACTTCACTACAGCTAAGGATACTAGTTACATCTCAGATTAGACATTTTACACAAACATTTTATAAACTGGAAGAATATTTAACCCCTCAAAGAAAGAAAAACCTTATCCTTTAAAATGTTATTTTTAGTTGGATGATGGCTCTTTTCTTAATGACTATTTCTGCTTTTTCTACTTTTTCCTTAAAGGTAATTATTTAGCATGTAGTGTGCTACTTTTTTCAGATTTAAGATCTGAATATTTCTTCAACATGCTATGTGGAAATACAGGAAATTAAATTTGATTCGAAAAAGATTTCACAGCCATGTTTTTGGTTTAATTATCAAAAGCAATTAGTTGTTTTAGTCGTCCCTGTAGCGAATTTGTCTACTCACATGGCCCTCTAATAAAAGACGTCAGACTACGGGGGCAGAGAAAGGACAAGGAATGTCTAATTAATATTCAAGCCTTCTGATTGAAGTGCAGATAAATAAGAAAAATATAACTTACAAACAAACCATTTTGCTTTGGAGACTTGGTGCCTCTAATTGTCTATGGTATTAGATAATAGCCATGATGCTTACAGTAACAAATATCAGTATCTGGACACTGAAAGGCTGCAGACTTTTATTGAAGCAGTAATGACTGAGAAGAAATTGAACTGATGTCTGATTTGCTTTGTGTCTCTTTACCAGAGGCGGTCTTCAGCTCTTCCTTCAGCTCTCTCTTCTCCTTACGGAGGGTCACAAGTGCATTTCGTATCCCATCCCTCTCTCTTTCCAGCTCCTCCTTCTCTTTCAGGTAACTTTTGGCATCCTCATCCGCTCGCGTTTTCCCATACCTGCCATATTGGTTTTCATCTATGTGAAAATGTCAGAAGAGAGCAAAGGTGAGGGGTTAAATGGGCAGGGGTTATGGGAAGGAGACAGAACATTATCAGCGATTTCTTTTGCCTGTCCTAAATAAATCTCTTCACATAAGGAGTATGACGCATCTTCCACGTGAGAGAAAAGCACACACATTCGACCTCTTTCATAATTCAAAGAAGAATTTTGGGGAGGACACAAAGATACGATGCATGAATAAAAGGTAAACAGACACATGCTCTCCTGCAGAGGGAGAGGTCAGGAGGCAAGACAGCGGATCTAATGTGAGTGTCCAGTAAATCTCAGGTTACATCCGGAAGCTCTCAGCCGTGGAGAGCGCTGGCTCTTTGATGTGTCAGAACGTCACAGTGAAGGCCTGTGAAACAACACTGAGAGGAGCAGAGAGACAGCCGACCACGCCAATATCACGTTCCTAAACTAAGGAAGCCCAATTCCTTTCTGCATGGTGGAGGCCAACTGACACGGGGAAACAAATTGTAGATGTAAGTAAAGAGGGAAGAGATTATAGATGGAAAGTGAGAAGATGATTAAGAGGAGAGGGAAAAGGGGAATATTGAGCCTTATAAAAGCTCAAATGTTACGAGGAGTCTATGAAGAGAGTATGCTACAGTAAAAGTAGAGCTTTGCAATCTAACTCCTGTGAGAAACACAACTACAGTATATTAAGAAGTGCCATCTGTATTATTCTTGTTCCCTTGAAAGGAAGCAGACTGCTCCTACTAAGAGGGAGAGGGGCTTAAAGCTGATAAAAAGGGAAGCTTCTACAAATATTTGGTCCGGCTGTGCTTATATAGGATATTAGCTGTTTGGTTGGTTGTGAATGATAATTTGAATACTTTGGATAAAAATGATATTTGTGCAGCTTTGTTAATTTATCTGACATAATGCTGTAATGGATCACGATATGCTACTGAAGTTTTGTACGGTCAACTCTACTAAAGGGGTTCCACAGGGATACATTTTGGGTCCTCTATTCTTCACAAAATATATATACACAACTTATAGGCATTAGATTCTATACAAAGACTTGATTCAAACAAATAATCCTTGATAACTTAATATAGGTTATATGGTATTTTGGAAAACCAACTAAACACACTTACTTGAGCCTGTACGTTTGAGGGAGACTAAAGGCTTGGTTCTGTCAGAGTCACTGCTGGAGAAACTTGAGCGCCTTTTCCCTTGATTCCCAGACTGCAGCCTGCGGTTCTCTCCTGACTGGGTGGAGTAGAGAGGGGGTGGGGGGACATGACAGATGTGGGAGGATGCAGAAAAAAGGATGAGGACGGAGGAGGACAAAGACGGCAAAGTTTGTATATTAGGCGAAGCAATATACTAATGTTCAGATTTATTGGTATGAGACCACTGAGGTGTGTGTTTGTGGCTTTAGGTGGTGAAGTGTTTAAGTGCATGTCAGTGGGGTTAGGAAAGGAGTTTACAGGCTATAAAACTTCCATGACCTCTTGCCTTCCTGTCACCAGTTAGATCGCTTTTTCTTTGTCTTTCCCCCCCTCTCCCATGCCCACACACTGCTTTTTCTCTGGCTTACAAAAAGCAGTCATTGATAGGCGCGTAACAGAGAACTGTCTGTCTGTTCCAGTGACTGATATGGAGTGTCATATTCAGACAGGGAGAGTCCCAAACAGCTGCACACACACAGACATGCAGCCGCTAATCTTCACATCAAAGTAAAGAATTACACCTATGTTTAACTAAACTTAAAAAAACATGTAAGCACATGTATCCTACCTGCATGTCCTCATTAGGGACCTCATCATATGTTCTGCAGTCTGTAGAGTTACTGACGGAAGATGTGGCCCACCTAGGAATAGAGAAAAGGAGATATTAATCTTTATTTGGTCTCAACATCTTTGCGTTGGTCACTGGCCTTGCTTTGACCTTGTCCTGAAATTCCCACTTCCCCCCTCTTTGTCTCACTCACAGGAAGGAATGCCGTGCAGCGTCGCGGATGTTAGCGATGGTTTCCACGTCAACATAGTCGTAATGCAAAGACTCTGGATCTGTCGAAGAGCCTGTCTCTGCCAAGAGGACTCCAAGCCACCGTCCAAGTTCCTCAGAGCTACTAGCCTAAAAAGAGACCAACAAATAAGCTTTTAATTTGGAAGTTACTAAAAAACAAATAGCTGAAAGACCCTAAAATACAGCAAAATGTGTGAGTGTGGTATCAAGTGATGGTGTGTTCTTCAAATAGAGTAACCCCTTTGAACACATTTTAGACCTGTTAATAAAAGTATTGATTAGTGCAGAGCAACTTTAAATGAGGAACAAACGGTCCGTTTTTTTACCTCCAGAGCAGCCACCGCTGTGTGGTTCCGCAGGATTCGGAAGGCAAAGGGATGTTTGGGTCCAAGCCCCGGGAGCACTTCACAGCCGTGGAGAGGAAGTGAAGGCAGGGACGTCCGAGAGTCTCCTTTGTCATTGTAAAAGTGCAGGGAGCCTTTGCACACACGGCACCACTGTTCCCGCCACACCTGATGCACCAGCACCGACACATAGCCTGCATGGTAAGGAGGGAAAAGATGGATAAGTGTCTAGAATTATCGACTCTACAAACCAGTTAAGTTTAAGTTAAAATCCATGCCTGTCTAAAATGTCATCATTTTATCCTAAAAGAAATGTATGAAATTGAAATAACAAGCACATTTTTTTTTTTTAACTGACCATTGACCATCAAATACAGATAATGTAATCCTTCAGTCCAAGTGGAAGTTTTTTTGCCAAATTTAAAGACCAAATAAAATGTTCCTCAAGGCATAACTGATATATGACGTTGACAAGAATATGATGGACAGCCAACTGAAAAACATTATGCCTCTGGCTGTCAGATGTCAATGGTATCCAGAGGCTTACAAATGCTGTGTCTGAATATTTAAGAGGCTTAAAGACCTTAGGATACAGTATGTAGACAGGTTAAGTGAAGTAGAGTCTGACCTTGCCGAGGGTCGCTGTATGAGGTCCGGGGGTCACCTGGACGAGGGGGCTTCTTCTTGGAGAAGCTGATGATACGAGTGATTTTACGGCCTGCTGCGAAAGCTCCCCGTTTCACCTTGCCTACATCAAAAACAAAAGGATTAAAGAGTTGACCATTGTCCAAATGTATCTTTGGTGTCTCGAAACTGTAATTCAAGATATACAGATAAGATGTGGCAACATACATTTCACTAGACTATGGACTATTGATAATAAGTGATGTGAAAACAATTGGGCAAAGAAGCAGTTGTAAACCTAGTAAGTGGACTTTGAGTCAACATGTTTCTGTCTGCTGTATTGATTTGAGGCTGTGTGTGTCTCTGTCTCACCATTCTCTCTGCAGTGCTCTCCAGTCGACACACCCACACTGTCTGAGTCTGAGGTGTTCCTCTCTGCAGAAAGCCTCTGAGGAAGAAGCATACCAACACTGGTTTAGACTTACAAAAGCAGTCCTTCACAGGATCAGTATGCCTGCCATTCCATGTATTCTTTCATTATCTTACATAATTACATATTAAGACTCATCCTTTTTCTTTTTCTCTTTGCATTCTATGCTTTCTTTCATAAAAGAAATTTTGCGGTGTGTGTTCTGACAGGTAAAGAGGATGTGCCTGATCCAACACCCCTGTCATTGCTGCCTTAACACCCAATTAAGCTACATATCCGCTCCGTGTTCTGCGGGCCAAATACAGGTTTCACTGTGCACTGCGTTGAGCCAAACAATTGTTTAAGAAAATTGACGGTGACAACACAATTGCTGCTTGCCACCAACTTTTCCTCACCTCAGCTGTAAAGACAAATGATGTCTTGGAAATAACCAACAGACACAAACATCCTCTCTTATGCACTTACCTTGTCAAGTTCAGTTTTTCTTGGAATGATGGGGGACGCAGATTCCTCCGGCCCAGCGCTCTGACCGCTCACCTCTCTAACAACCTGCGGGGAGATATTTCACACGTGTCACTCTCGACTCTCTGAGGTTTGTTTTTCCACATCGTCAAACCCACTTCCAGTGATTGTTCGACATGATTGATGGCCGTATTGGTGTGTATTACATGCAGGACTGTAATTTCAAAGTGTAGCTCACCCTAAGCCATCTGTGAGCCTGCTCCTTGCTTTGTACGGCCAGCACCAGTGCATCTCCATTGGGCAGAGTGAAGCGGAGTTCATGGTGCTTCCTCTTGCTGTCTTTGGGTGCGTAGACCACAGTGCACTGGGGCAGCAGCATGTCCACACAGGGGGATGTGTCCTTAGAGCTCTTATAGCACTGCACAAAAGAGCACACATAATAAGGTTGTAGAAGTTGAAGAAGAGGTTGTTTATGGTTTCCTAAATACATGCTGAAGAATAAGGCCCTGACACACTAAGCCAAGATCAACAAACACGTTGCGTAAGAGTCAACTGTTGCCCTCGCGATGCCTTTGATTTCGCCAAAAAATAGCACTTGAAGACATAACAAAGACAACAGCCATCAATCACATACGTTCCTGTCTGCATGATCATCCTTCTAAAATGGAAATCCCAAAACATCCAGCAGTATATTTATATCCAAGCTGTTATTATGTTACAAACATTTAAACAAAGCAGCATTTCACAGCCATTTTCCCTCTGGTGATATTGTTTCAAAAAGAGCTGTGTATCAGGATGATTTGATAAGATGAAGATGAAAGTCTATGTATTCCCTCTTGATTTGAGTGTTTTGTTATTTATCCTCGCATCCGTTTCTCTTAATGTGCACTGATCAGCCTGAGCTGAACAGCCAATCAGAGTCATCCCCTTCCGCTGTCAATTCAGCAAGTAATAAAGGCATTGGAGTACGTTGGGATCTGCATAAAAAAATGCTAAAAGTGCAGGAAACACCACAAAAACATGGCGGACAGACGTACATCGATGTCTCCAGCTTGACAGACGGACGATAATCAGCTTGGTGTCAGGGCTTTTACTTAGTTTAACAACTTATCACCTGTAGTCTGTTATCACGTATGACAGTGAGCTGTTTGGCCCACTGGCCGAAGCGTTTCTTGCGCAGCAGGAAGGCACAGATGCGACAGTCCCGGGCGGGGGGCATGGAGCTCTCCTCCGAGGGCCACTGATGAGTGAGTCTGACGCTGGGGCTCCTCTCCTCCTCATCCTCCTCGTAGGACTCGTATGAACTGCTCAGAGCATCAGAGTCATTGTCTGATGGGGAAATTACAGAGAAGGAAAAGTGTTTTATTTGTTGAAAAAGACGGTTTTTTTGGTGTTATATTGTTCACTTTCTTTTCAACTTACATGAGTTTTTGCGGTGTGTGTTCATGCACGTAGTGGGGTAGTTGCTTTCGGCGTCTTCATAACCATCTTCGATAGAGTTGGGAGGGCTAGGCCTGACTGTAAAGGGAAGGAAAAAAATCACTAATTACTCCTTATGTTCCGTGATGTATTTGAATACAACTTGTACTTTGTAATTACTGTCTAAAGGGTTTTAACATCAACATGACACTAAGAGCACTGAGTGCAACAGAGCGGGAAGATGCTTACCTCGTGTGATGATGTATTCGGGCAACGTGCCAGGACTGAGGGGCACGGCCTCCTCGTAATACTCCTCGGGGGGAGGCGTCGTGGGCAGAGGGGGAGGGGAGTCAGCGGAGTGCGGGGCAGGGGAGTCTGCACAGTCCTACGAAACGAAACACACAAACACAACTCTCAAATTTCACTCATAACCAAGAAAGAATTTTTACTTCACAGCCTCAGAACTACATCATCAAAGAGATACAAAGAAAAACCCTTTAAATGATATCCATAAATTAGACACATGGGCTCTGGGCGGGTCCCTACATCTTAACTCCTTCAACAGCTTGCAGAGTGATGAGCATGTGTGTATGAGAAAGCCCCACAACATGGAATACAATCTCTGTTTTTCTTCGCTTTTCCTCCACAAGTCATTTAGAGGTGTAATGCAATGTTGAATTTGGATGTTGAGTGCTGAAACGACGCGTCCCACACATGTAATGTAGATTTCTGGGAAAGGATCAGTCACTATATATTTGCCACTTACCTGTTTTAAAGTGTCAGCTTGTGTGTTGTTGTCTTCTTTCAGATCGTCTGTCACATCCTTTAGGTCCCCAAGCTGGCAGTCTGCAAGACACAATAATGTATATTTAAACTGACACTTATATATAAAGAGAACATGATGTCTGCAGAGTATTTATATGGAGCACATTTTACAGCAACAAAGACTCACCAAAGGTCTCAAAGAGGGACTCTACGAAGCTGGTGCCGTTTCTGAACACAGCTGAATTCATGTAGATGTAGTCTGTTCCTGAAACTGGAGGCAAGGACAGAGACGCTTTAAAATGAAGAGTGTAGTGCGTGTTTGTATGTGTAGAGTTTAAATGAAACAAACTAGGACTTTTATCCTCCTCTTACTGACCCGATGGCTGTATTTGCTTCAGGAGGTTCCACACGGAGGTCTTCTTCTCCTGCGTGGTTGAGCTGAGGTTCTCCTGGTCCAGCATCTTCAGCAGGACGCCCAGCTCACTCACCAACACCTCCATCGCTGCACAGACGGGACGGGGGGGGGCGCAAAGGTCAGGGGGGCGCGGGTTCAGTTTATCAGCAGAGAGGGCAAAGGTCAGGTCTAAACAAACCAAAGGGCTGTGTGTCAGACAGCCTCTTTCTGCTTTGCTTTCCGTGTCTTTCTTTCATTTTCTAACACTTTACTTCACAGTTTGTCAATGTCAATCTCACGCAGCCTCCTCCTCTCCTCTCTCTGATACTAGCCAGACTCAACAACCACATAAAGATGGTGTGACAGGAAACAGATTTGCTAATTGCTCATTAACCTCAAGAAAAAGTGGAAGTGAAACTACCAAAAATCACACCTCTTTGCATAGAACACAAAAAAGGAACTATAGCTGCAACAATTAGCACATTGTAACTACTTAATAATTCATTAATCGTTTAATCTTCATGAAAAATGGCAGAAATGCTTTTTCAGCTTCTCAAATAATGGATGTTTATCGCATTACTCCCGGAATATCTTAAGAGTTTCAGGCTGACAAAACAAAACATTTAAAGATATCACATAAGACTTTGAGAAAACCATCATGGACATGATTTCTGAATTAATCTGGAAAATAATCAGCAGATTAATCGCTAATACAAATATTTAATTAGTTGTCGCCCTGCAGAGAACAGTCTTTCAAGAACAACAAGAAAAAAAACAGTGTTCTTTCTGCAGCAGCTCTGAAATGTTGCTGGCTCAGACTGATGGGCACCAATCCAAAATGTCAATCAACTGTCGATCTCACTGCAAAGAAGGTTAACTGTTCTTCAAGAAACTGTAAAGATGTTAAAGGGTTCTGACAGGAACAACTGAATTCCCACTTTACAGAACCCAGAGCGAGCCAAATGTAGCAGCAAGGCGGGCACCTGATCCTTATCTCACAGTGGAGAGATTTTAAAGTCTGGCTCACACGGCAGACCTCCTGCAACACTCTGCTTTCCATGTCGTGCAACACTTTGAGGACCCGGCTTATAGGAACATGATCCACACATCATGTTGATCTGGTCCACTCCCTGTTTTCAGAGCAGAACTTAAATAAACAGTGTCCTTCACCCAGCTGCTGGACATCCTGAGAACAGTTCTGCAACCTGCCTCTGTGTTTGGATTCCACTTTTATCAGATTTTCCTCCGGACACAAGCAAAGCCTCTCGACTCTGTCTGCTCATTTCATAGCTGCATTGTATTCGACACTCTGTATTGTTAAAACATGCTGTTCTAATACCCATTTATCTACCTCTATAATCCTGAAAATCCCCAGAAAAACCCTGACAACCGGCTGAGTCACTGCTGGCACACTTGTCTGCCTCACCCCCCTCTCTCCCTCCATCTCTTACTCTCAGCCCCCCTCTCCCTTGCAAACATTTTCACAGTCCAGCTACATTAAACCTTCTGAACCGTGCATTTTTCTGGGGTCAGCCGCGGGACAACCGCTGAGCCAGAGAAGTCTTTATTCGGGGGGCGATCATATGGCAACAGGTAAACAAACACACCTACACAACCCGTGTTGCCACAATACTCAAAATACTTCAATACAACACCGGGACCAGTGTCAATGTACGACTCCATGTTCTACACCAAACTTTTCCATACCATTTAAAATGAAAGATGAATATAACAAAATGTATTGTACAGCACATTTTCCTATTTTAGCTAGTTGGGAAAAACACCAGGAATGACACTAGTTTCATTTCATTTCAAACCTTTATTTATCCAGGTGTATCCCATTGAGATCATTGATCTCTTTTTCAAGGGAGACCTGCTCAAGTAGGTTCCACATGAAACATAAAAACATAAACAGAACAACAAAAGGACATCTTACAGCATCTTAGTAACCATGTACCATAAAACGATAATTTTAACATTAAAACCTTATTCTTTTTGAGGTGGTAGACATTCAAAATCCACTGAGATTGTCAGACATGCAAAAGGAAATAAAGTGGAAGAAAGAAAAATGAGCAATCATGTATTGCCAATGTAACATTATGAGAAATGAGACTTGAAACCCTTTCCAATATCAAGGTATGTATTCAAAATGACATAGAAACACACAGAAAACATTGAGTGAACTTAAATGAGATAGCAATTGCCACATATTAAAGAGCAAGTAAAACAAATCTATCCATCTTATGTGTTTTCAATGTTTCAGTATATCGATTTATCCAGAATCGACATGTTATGAAAAACATGCACACCTCAATCAATCAATCAATCAATCAATCAATCAATGTTTATTTATATAGCCCAATATCACAAATGTTACATTTGTTTCAGTGGACTTCACAGTTTGTATAGAATATCAGTATGACAATACGACACCCTCTGTCCTTAGACCCTCACATCGTACAAGGAAAAACTTCCAGAGAAAACCCACAGTTTAAAGGGGAACATGGGAGAAACCTCAGGGAGAGCAACAGAGGTGGGATCCCTCTCCCAGGACGGACAGACGTGCAATAGATGCCGTGTGTAAATTGAAAAGATAATACATTTACAACATAGGTAGACCACATTTTTGGAAATGCATGTGTCTATAATAAGAAGATGAGCCCAGGTGGATAGCAACAATCCTGTGGGAGCCATCCGAGAAGTAGCGCAGGATTGCTTGTATGTTGTGGATTTAGTGGGACGTGTTTGAAGCAAACTTTGGTGCACCTGTCAACAATCCGCCTGTTGTGTGCTTGTGTTTGAGGAGCATATATGACTTTAGGCAGAAAGTTGGACTCTTAGATATTTCACTCTGACAGCACAATCTTGTATGTAATCACCACTGACAAGAAAAAAGCCTTGATAATCTGGGAGATGAATGTGGTATTTGTTCTACATTTCAGACTGCTCCCACTCCTTAAAGACAGACATACTTTCCTGAGGTGGGTCTTCCTATGGGCTTCCCACTGCTCTGCCAAGGCTACAGTAGGTGTGTGCTGGCCTGCGTCTATTCAACCACTTCTTTACGACTGCGGTTTCCTTCTATTATAATAAAAGCCCGCTCGCACTCTGAGAAGAGGGCATGAGGAATTAATCTGTGCCGGGACCTGGAATGTCTGCTCATTAAGATCCGATTCACCCGAGGGAAATAAGGACGTGGGGGTCAGGGGAGAGAGAGGAAACTCATGTGAGGGGGATGTTTTGGCCTGCTGAGCGCTGCCTCTCTGCCAGAGGTCCCAGCTGTTTAGATTCTGGCTGTAGCGCACCACCGGACTTCCCCTAACCGAGCAGAAAGCAGAACTGTATCCCTAGCGTGACTCATTCACAGCAGAGAGGCTGACATTCACACCAGTCAGCATTAAATCGAATACAACTAAGAAATCAAGGCGTAGCTTTCGAGGATTTGGTGTCAACGGGGTGATAAAGCTTTTTCACTATTACACTTGGATCGGCGTTCTAAAAAGCGCGTTATCTGATTCGACGATGACAGTGTTATTGTGCGAGTTAATACGTCATTTTTGGCACGTGAAGCCCTTAAAACCACCCTTAAATCTCCAGCTATGACTTTATAAGCAACACCACACTACTCACAAACTTTGAAAACAGCACATGATCTTTTAAATCTCTGCTGCAATTTTGTGTGCGGGCGATGTGGGTCTTTGATGTCTTTAAAAGCCAGATAAAACAGATTGTGAGCCTGTGAACACCTGAGGGAAACTACACATGAGCATAAGATTATAAAGCTGCATGAAAACAGGTTGGATGTGCTTTGAGGCAGACCCGGGGGGAAATTACAACATTTGCAGCTACAAGAGGGAAAACCAGGGCTGTACTGAACATTTTTAAGCTTTAAGCTTTACTGTATTTATATATTGATATTTCAATTCTAAATCAAAATTGAATTGAATGAATCAATAAAAATAGTTTTGAATTACAAAAAAAAAACTTTTATTTTGTGCTTCAACTGTGACATGTCTCCATGCTATAATGTTCAAAAAGCTCTTTATTTTTATCATACTGCCTGTTCTGCAGCACCTCTTTTCACCCTCTGTCTGAAACTAGAGCCCAGTCTGCTCTGATTGGTAAGCTGGCCGGCTCTGTTGTGATTGGTCAACCGCTTAGAGATGTCCCGCCCTTTAGCCTTTCACGTTCAATGTGTTCAAGCGTGAGTGTTACATAGTGTTGTCACTATGTTATGGAAGTAAACAAAGGAGTCTAATGGAGGCGTTTCAGGAAGGGGGGGGGAGTGTGTAAGAGAGAGAAACTCCCTCTCCAGGATTTTTGCTTTTGCAGATGATTTAGATGAACAAAATCCTATACAACACAACACACTACAGGAAAGGGATTTCTTAAGGGGATGACATCATAAATAATAACGACAGACAAAGTTAATTTGAAAACCTCAACAGAATCTTGGGAAATAAAAACATTGAAATCCGGTTGAAGGACAACCCAAATCAAGAGTCTACATCCAGATAACCTTTCAGTGCATCAGAGAAGACATCAATAGAGCTCAAAGACGGGTGCAGCCGGTGCACCATGCAGGAATGTGAAGCCATTCAGAGCTCAAACATTTACCTCCTCTCACTCGTATGACAATTGCTGTTAAACACTGGACACATTCCTCACCTTGTTAATAGTGCAAGACTCTGCAAAGTGTGTTTGTGCGCATCAATAGAGAGAAGTTGTTAAACAGTGCGGACTCAGACCTTTTAAAAGAGGCTTGCGTTAGCGGAACGTCTGTACAACCGGATGGAGTTGGGGAGAGGGGGGGGTGAGTAATGTCAGAGAGCACCTGTGCCAACATGTCCAACAAACCTTGATATGAAGATTAATGTGACCTGAATCGGGCGCGCAGGGTTTTTCCGCCTCCTCCTTTTCATTCTAAAAGTTTTCTTCATGCTGGGCTTACTTGTGTTGCCACACATCACACACAGAGAAACAGCTCCCCAGTATGAGGAAAGTGACACAATTTCACAATACTGTTGCAGGCAGACATTCCAAGCTAATCAAATACGGATTTGCATCCCACAGAGACTCTCTGGTGACTTTAAAAATTACAGTGTTTCAATATTTGACTCAAGTTGCTGCTTTCTCAACAATTCCATCTTTGTTATCGTTTCAGCAAGTTTGCAAAAAAGTAACCATCACCCGATTCCTGTTTACAGCTCCTCCCCAGCCTGTGTGTCTTTCCATTGTTCTGAATGTATTAACAAATCCTTCTTAAGCTTCAGATACCTGCTGCGTTAATATCTTGACAATCTGCAAAGGCTTCCACACTTACCTTCAACAGAAGCAGTGGATGAGAGTCCCACCATTTTCCAAGGTTAGTTAGGAGAAAGCAGTTCATTCAGACCCAAGCGGATACTTTAGGAGATATTCCAAAATCAAAGCCTCCCTGTGAAGTCTTTGCAGCGGAGGTGAGCTGCTGTCTGCCTGCTGCTGAATTCACACTCACCTCTCCCTCCCTTCCTCTGTTATCTCCCTATACTTCCCCTCCCACTCTGTCTTCCCTCCTCTCTTCCTTTTTGGGGGGTAGGGTTTGTGGTTGTGGAGGTGCTCTGTGTGTGTGTGTGTGTGTGTGTGTGTGTGTGTGTGTGTGTGTGTGTGTGTGTGTGTGTGTGTGTGTGTGTGTGTGTGTGTGTGTGTGTGTGTGTGTGTGTGTGTGTGTGTGTGTGTGTGTGTGTGTGTGTGTGTGTGTGTGTGTGTGTGTGTGTGTGTGTGTGTGTGTGTGTAAACCCCTCTGCTGTAATCCTAGGGATCGTATAGCACCTGGGAAAGGCTATAGCTGTGTAAACACACACATGTCGACTAATAGCTAACTCACATTCTTTATTCTTTCAGAGTCTAACCTTTAACTAGTGACACATAAAAGAGGATGCCAGCTAACCCACTGACACACCACATACAGTAAGGCATTGTAGTACCACATAACTACTTTCTGATACCAGTAACATTTTCCCAGTGAGGGTGTTTTGAGAATATAAAGGGTTTGGGGTAAAGGCTGTGGAGTGGAGGTAGAGGCATGTTGAGACCTTTCAGAGTTACACGTGGATGACTTGTTGCCTTGAGGCAGACTCATGAGGCCCAACACGATGTGACATGCTACCTTTCAATCACAAGGGTACAACGCTGCACAAACAAACCCACAGGCACTCACTGACAGTACACAAGCTCAGCAATAAATCAACTAACACACACAAACACACACACACTGACACAACACAACACTGTTTCTCATAAGTGTAGGCTTTTAGTGTATCAGTTGCAGGATGAAATCAGTGTCAGGTGGCTGCACAATACTACACAATAATAACTGTGAGCTATATGAGAAATGCAAAATATAAGATCACCTGTTTGTGTCCTGATGTTTTACAGCCACAATGAACTCAACGTTTTTATTTAGATTCATAATTTGATAAATGAATTAATTATGGAAAATGATTTATATTGCCATGGTGAATATCTTTTGATAAAATGGTTGTTTATTTGAAATCGCAAATATTATCTGTTTTCTTGTACCTTCCGGTGTTTATTTAAGTGAGGCAATTTAGGACAGCCGCTTTGTATGAGACCTGATGAGACGGGGGGCGGAACAGTTTTTCGACCGCAAATTCTAAACAGTAATTAGTGTTGCAAATTCGACTGCAAAGTATAATTGATATAAGAAAGTATATCGCCGAAATATTGATTTAGATATTATTTTGAGACAATTTAAGTCAATAATTCTTTGTTAATAAATTACTTTTTTTGCTTTGGATTGTGTGTCGTCAACCCCGCTCTATAGTGGCAAAAGGAAACCTTGGATGCCACTACAAAGCTATATGAGAAATGCAAAATATAAGATGTCCTGTTTGTGTCCTGGAGTGACCATTTAACCCTTTTTGATATGAACTATTGAATGCACTTTAGTTAGTAATACATTGTGAAATAAGAACATTTTCCTGCAAAAAGCTACAAAAATTAAATTTAAGATTTCATATCTGTATGGAAATTGGAAGATGTTGGTAGAAAGAAGAAGATGGTAACAAAATCCACGGTGATATCTTTATTTAATCGAAAGTGGAAAAACAGAGGCCTTTTTTTCTCTCCAATAAAAAACTAATGAAAGAAAGAGATACAATGTGTTTTGATGCTAGTCTTAAAGGGGACCTATCATGCAAAATACACTTTTTTTATGTCTTTTATGCATAAATATATATATAAAAACTCACGCAGCGTCAGAAAATAAAACCCTCTCTCTTATCCTCCGTACCCAAATCTCTAAAAACGGCGGTGCAACGGAACTGATCCAGATTTCCGTCCGATATGACGTAATATCGGAAATGTGGACCCACCGGACTATCAGAACGTTGCTATCAGAAACAATGCCCGACTGTTTTGGGCATAACATGGTCGTGTCTACATTAGCATCGCTAACACTCAGAGCTAACCTGTACTGGAGAGAGCATGTGTGTGAAGAAGCAGGAAATAAAAAGGAACTCACCTTGTGGTATAACCGGCAAGAGAGAAAGCCTTTGAGCTCCATACTGTTTCAGAAATAATCCTTGATAATCCAAGATATGGCGTTTCATCACGGCAGTATTTAGTTTAGACAGTAGCTGCCGGGTCCCGCATGAGCTCAGCCCCCTCCTTTTTTTTCGATCAATTCTTTATTTTTTTTTCAAGCTTTATACCCCAAATCAGCACTTTTGAAACAGGAAGTGAAATAGAGGGATATGAGACATGGCTAGAATGGGTGATCTGTTCGGTATTTTCAGCAAAACACTTCATAGACATGTTTTTTATATATTTTTATATATCTGCGACCTACAGTATGCTATTGCCTAAAAATAGCATGATAGGTGATCTTTAATGTTCAAATAACGGTCACTGCTGCTTAAGCAAACACAAACAGCAGCATCAGTCTTACTGTACAAAAACGATTAGTAATTACCCTTAGTAATACCAAACAATACCTTTTTTTATCAATTTATAAATGTAAAACTACTGTATATAAAAAAAAATGTTGCTACTAAACTTGTTTTATTTATTTGACAAGAAAGGCTAACATTCTCAAATGCTAAATGTTGTTAGCACGTAAGCAAAACACTTCAAATAGTATAACTGGCAAACTTATGATTCAAATCGGATTTAAAAAATGCTTTTTAAAAAAGGCATTCATTTTTAACATTTGGTACTTCAAAATAATGATAATTAGGGCATCATATACATTTTTGTCGGCGGCAAAAATAATTGAGGATAGACGCCCAAGGGGCCCAACTAAACCTTCAAAAATGTCAAGAGAAGACAGTTTAAGTTGATCTTAGTGAAAAACAATGCCGAAATACCACTCGGCAATTAAATAGTAGACAAACAAGTCAGACTGTTTGCGCATATAAAAAGGATTCAAAATAACAAATTCCAAGGATGTCGGTGTAGAAAAATGTATGATTAATTGCTTGATAATGTAGGCAGGAAGTTCTCCTTCCATCTAATTACACACACACACACACACACACACACACACACACACACACACACACACACACACACACACACACACACACACACACACACACACACACACACACACGATACCCTGAGGCATTTCTAGTCTTTCCCAACTTTTCCGATATCCTCTCTAACTGTGACAAATGCCACAGACACACCCTGCTAGACTTGGTTGTGGCCTGACAAACCACTCCTCACTGTGACTAAATGTGACCTCTGACCTTCCCAGTAAAGATGTGAACTCACACAGGACCATGGATGCCAGAGTAGGGGCGGGAAGCACGCCATGTTGAAAAAATACATCACTTTTCTTCACATTGGGTACAATTACTCTCATATGTTTAAGTAAAACTAACGTGTTCAGGACTGGCGATTACAGACTAACAGACTGTTAAAAAAATTGATTAAAAGGTCCCCTATTAACCTGTTTTTCATCAATATATTATAAGTCTCAGATATATGCAAAACATGTCTCTGAAGTGTTTGGCTGAAATACCAAACAGATCATTGCAGCATCCCATAATTCCCTCTGCTTCAGCCCTGTTTCAAAAGTGCTGATTCTCTGTCTGTTACTTTAGATGAAAATAAGGAGCCCCTCCCCACGCCCCTCTGAGAGATATTTGGTTAGAAAGAACACAATGGTGCTCTAGGAGGAGATTCAGGTGATAAGGTGGGGGGGGGTTACCTTGGTTGCTGATTGGCTAATGGTTACACAAGACAAAACGTCGTTATGACATCATAAAGTGGCCAAAATCTGATCAGCTCATTTTCAGATCGCTTTCATAAATGGATCAGGACAAAAAGTCAGCTAATCTTTTTCCATGACACTTTAAGAATCTCTTTACACAGAGGGGACACATGTCTATGTATAGAAGACGTGAAAAAGTGGATTTTGCATAATAGGTGACCTTTAAGGTTAGAGTTAGGTTTAGTATGTCCACAATAAAAAACATAGTTATAACTAAAAGTGGCCGAGATAATCTCAAACGACCATCTGCAACTCCACAAGAGATCAGTATCTAATGAAAACTGCTGTGCTTTTCTTGGAAGTCCCCCTTCCTTATTGTCTTTGGACATGTTGAATATACAGCAGTTTCCCAACCTGATCGGACATGAAAGAGCGCTGCAGGTTGAAGGCTTTGAGGTGTCCACACACACAAAGTGTGGGTGTCTCACGTTGTGTCATCAATGAGGCCGGCTGAACAATATGCCCCAGTGACTTTTGAAAGGAAATGAAAAAAAAATTCTTTGTATGTGGAAAAGCACAATCTTATCTCATGTTAAGTGAGTCACAAGAGAGGGTTTTCAGTAAGGAGTCAGCTGGGTAAATGTTATCTTCATGCCGTGTGAAGTTTATCTAAATACCACCATCCAACTCGGTCATCAAAGCTGGGTCAAAGAAAAAGGCTGAATCATAACATTTAGAAGACAGATGAAAAAATGTATGCCACATACAGTATGAAGATCTAAAAAACGTCCACTTTATCACCCCTCTTTGCCCTGTGTACATCAGCAGGCTGTGTGTAGCCAACACATACCAACACAGGTGAGGTAAACCAGATAACCAGATGTGCTGGAGGTCTTTAATTACAGTAAGAGCGGTGCCAACAATGCCATCTCTCACCAGCCTGTGCCCTATCATGATGAGATCTCCTCCCACTCTACTCCTCAGATTCCAGACATTTTCCAGGTCTGATGCTTCTGCTCTGCCAAAGCGCTAAACATGCCTGGACATTCACAAACTGATATCCCCGGAGACCACGATAGGTAAACAAAGACTGTATTGGATGATGGGCAGATGAGTAAGATGAATGCAACTGTGACCTAACTGTCTTCTTGCTAATGTTTGGCCAGTGTAGTCATCATTTAAGGAGTTGAGGTGGATAAACACAGCAGGATTCAAATGCAATTTTGACTCAGATTTCTTGCGTGTGATTCATTCTTTTGTGTGTGATTAATTCACAAGTCAAAACATTTGCTTGAACAAACATCAATTGTATGCGTCAAAAAGCGTTCGTTGCTGGCGACGCATTACTTCAGATTATCAGACTAAAGCATCAGATTAAAATGTAAATCATAAAAGCAGCTTTTAAAGATCATGCTTACTAACT